CAGACTGAATGGATTGTCAACACATCCCACCACTGTATGGCCAGATGAGACGCAAACTACGGTTTCTCGACTGAATAACCAGTCTGGCTAGTAAAGTTTTGATGGATGAAGACTGCAATCAAGGTAAAGATGATTGCTGTAGTGTACAGGAGTCGTACAGTAAGCACGTGTGAGTCCGTTATAATAATGCGTGTATGAGTGCTCTTGACACACTGATCGCACATTGTATTTATGCACAGGCACAGACATTTCCGTACATTCACATTGTTTCCACACACATTCACGATAATGTTTTGATTTGTCATGTGTATGTTGCTGTGTTTAGTTATTCTGAATGGATCCGTGTACTGTAGTAGATATATGCAGTCAGCAGGCGATTGGTTTAGTTTTTTTTGGCATCTCCATCTGGTCCTGTTCGGTATCTCAACTTGGCTTCTCTAAAATGTAAAACAGCTCTTTGCTGTTGCAATGTACACATACTATAAAATTCTGATTTTTGTTTTCTTTCATATGTGCTTATATGGGCTCCTTATATCATTTGGTTTCTTTTATCTAAATTTATCTTGAAAAAAGCTTGCAGAAAATATAGATTTTTGAGAATCACCCTTCAATCTTTTGGTTTACTTTGCTGGATATAGCAAATGATGACAAAATAAACATTTGAAACAAGATAAATGGTCTATGCTTAATTTCATGAAGTGTGCGATTAATCGTGATTAATCACAGAAAAAGGATGTGATTAATTCGATTAAAAAAATGTAATCGATTGACAGCCCTAATATATATATATATATTAGTTATTATTTTGGAAACTAAAAGAGAGAAGTTTACATTTAAAATAACAGTGTAGAGATGTCTATTTTTGAATAATCCAGCAAATTAAATGTTTTTCTGTAGTAATTAAATGTATTAATGAATTTAAATATATAATTCATTTTTATTTATTTATTTTTTTTTTTTTTTAAGAAATTGGTTTACATTCTAAATAACAGTTTAATAATGAGTAGTTTAGGATAATTAAGCAAATGAAAAAAATCATTCTATTTTAATTAGTTAATTTAAATCCATAAAGCTATTATTTTATTAAATTTTTCTGGAAATTCCAAGAAAGAATTTTGTTTTAAATAACAGTTTACTAATAAATATGATTGGATCACATAGCAAATGAAATACATTTTCTATAATAATTCATTTCAATTTCAAATAAATATTAAAGCATTAAAAACAATGCCTTTTTTGACATTATCATTCATTTGTGTGTAGCCAGTGATCTGTTTACGGAGGTTTGTGTTTTTCCTTCTCTAGATATCTGGAGAGCTGTGCGACATCTGCTCTGAAACGAAAGAGCGAATCTTTGTCCGTAGCTACATCATCTTCTTCCTCCATGTCTGAGGAAGACAAACCCGCAGCGGCCGCACATGAAGACACTGTGAACACAGACGGTAAGAGCCCTCAAAGTCCATTCCAAGCCTTTCTGTACCCTCCTAAAACCCTGCACAGATTCTGACGTCTTTCTCCCGCAGAAGCTGCGTTTGAGGGCACCGGTGCTCTGGACAGCCAGGTGTCAGCGGGCTCGGCCACGACGGCAGCGGTGGTGGGAGCACCACTCACAGACATCACAATCTCCACAGAAGCCATGAGTGTGGTGTCCGTCACCAGTCAGTGCAGTTACAGCAGCAACACAGTGCACGTTCCCCAGCCCGAGCCAGGTGAGTGCACACACATACAGTGACCCAATATGTGTTTGGCCAGTTAAACCTTAATCTACTCATCCTCAGGCCATCCAGATGACTTTTTTTCTTTAGTAGAACAGCAATGAAGATTTTTTGCTGAAACCGTGGTACTTGGTGATTCATAAAGTGCAAGTCAGCAGCTGCCCGTTTTTGAGAATAAAAAAAGCATATCAAGGAACACAAAATTAATACCTGTGGCGCCTGATGATATATTAAGGTCTTATGAAGTGAAGCTATCGGTCTGTGCAAGAAACTGAAATTTTTTTATAACTTAATTACCTGTAATCCAGAGCCTCAGGCAAACGGTTCAGAGTGATGTCCGATTCATGATTCATTCTTTTGAACCGGTTCTCTAGTTGAATCAGTTCTAGTTAAGCCAAGTTGAACCAAAGTTGAATAAAATCTGACTGAATCAAGTTACCCAATCAAAACTCACTTTCGGATGCCCGACTGTCAACTCTGACTCGAAATGAGCCTAAATACTGGTGTATATGATCACATGACGCTGGTTTTTGCGCTCCAGTTCCTCCAACAGTCACTGAACTGAGGAAACAGTTCAACTCGGACTGAAGAGCAATGAGCTGCTGATATGCACATGCGTGAACCGTGCACTTGAATGAAGGGGTGAAATTAAAGTTTTTATCGTTTCTCATGGTTTTTGTAAAATGTTGAGCTGGTGAAGACTAGTATATTCACTTTATATGCTTTAGACATGTAAAACATGCACGTTTCACATCATTATTCTTTAATAATATAACTGCGTATATGTTACGTCATTGTGTTATTTTGTAAATGAACTAGGGAATTGAACTAGTTCAGTTCATTCAAATTGAATAAAGTTGTAAATAATGTTCAGTTTCTTGCACAGACCGATCATTTGACTTCATAAGACCTCAATATATCGCCAGGAGCCACGGGCATTAATTTTGTGTTCCTTTATATGCTTTTTTTATTCTCAAAATCGGGCAGCTGCTGACTTGCATTTTATGAATCACCAAGTACCACGGTTTCAGCTAAAAATCTTCCTCACTGTTCTACTCCAGGAAAAAGTCACCTACATCTGGATGGCCTGAGGTTGAGTAAATTTTCAAAACAAAGATAAGTTTCTCGGCCCATTATTCATCTGCGTCTGCCGCTTGTTTTCTTCCAGAGGTCACTGCCTTAGAAGATGCTCCAATGGGTAGCGAGCCAACAGACTCCGCCCCCACCCCTGCACGCCCCGCCCCCAGCACCTCCTCAGCAGCTCAGGAGGAGTTACTCGTGGTGGGTCTTACTAAAGAGGTGCTGTCGGCTCACACGCAAAAGGAGGAGCAACAATTCGTGGATCATTTCCAACATCGTATCCTGCAGAGTCCCTACAGCTCCTACCTCCAGCAGGACAACAGCAGCATGGCCCATTCTCATCACAGAGGTGTGTGTATGTGTGTGTGTGTGTGTGTGTGTGTTAGCAGTTGTTATTTGTCAGTCTATTGCTTGTGATATTCTTCATTTGTTAGATGCTTTGAATAAAATTGTCTGGAGCAAAAGAAGATTGACGTTGTCTAATCAGTGTCTGACTGTCAGTGGATTATTTATTTGATTCTATTATAAAAAGAACTGCATTTTATATATATATATATTTTTTTTTTAATCTAAAAATGTAAAAAAATTTAAGTATTAACAGTGTGATAATGTTATTGGAAAATCCAACAAATTAAATATTTTTTATAATAATTTAATTGATACTTTATTTAAATATACAGTACATAAAGATAATAGTCCGTATATAATATTCAATTATATTTTGTATTACTGTAAAACAGTATTGTCTATAATTGTATATTCTAGCTTTTTTTTATAATAAAAGATAAGCACAATCTAATTTTAATTCTGTCTAAGTAAGTGGTACCCTATAAAGCCATCCATAGCAGTGTTATTCTTGTATAATTGAAATACTAATATAATTTTTTAATAATATTTTGATAATAATTAGTGCTTTGATTATATGGATCGCCCGGTTTCATTTAAATTTTAGTTATGTACATTTAATTTTAGATTAAAGATGATTAGAACTGAATGTGTGTATATTTTTTTATGTTTTTTAAAGAAGTCTTTTATGCTCATTAAGGCTGCATTTATTTAATCAAACACAGTAAAAGTAATATTGTGAAGCATTATTACAATTTAAAATAACGGTTTTGTCTTCTAATATACTTTAACATGTAATTTATTTCTGTGATGCAAAGCTGAATGTTCATCAGCCATCACTCTAGTCTTCAGTGTCCAGGGTGTCCGCGGGGTCTTAAAAATCAATTTAGAGAAAATTAAGGCCCTTAAAAAGTCTTAAATGCCACTTTCCAAGGTATTAAATTTTGTGTCATCTTTTCATTATGTATATTTGTTGAATAGTGGGGAAATATATCATTAAAATATCAAAAGCTTATATAAGGGTGTTAAAGGTCCAGTAATGTTGCTATAATATTTATTAAAATTAAGTGAGATATTAAAATCAAATTAAAATATATTAACATTCTTGTAAAAATCAATATGAAAAGTAATTTTTTTATGTAAAATATTAAAATATGTAGAATGTATATTTTGTACAAATTAATTGGAAAGGGCCTTAAGAGACCAAATGTGTGTATGTGTGTGCGTGCGTGCGTGCGTCAGCATGCCAATTGCACGCTCCCTCAAAACTTGCGACATCTGTGGCATTGTGCTGTGTGATAAAACTGCACATTTTAGAGTGGCCTTTTATTGTGGCCAGCCTAAGGCACACCTGTGCAATAATCATGCTGTCTAATCAGCATCTTGATATGCCACACCTGTGAGGTGGATGGATTATCTCGGCAAAGGAGAAGTGCTCACTAACACAGATTTAGACAGATTTGTGAACAATATTTGAGAGAAATAGGCCTTTTGTTTATATGTATGGCTGATTTAATTTAATTTATTTGTATTATATTACTTTAGCATCAACCATAAACATACAAAACTGCAAACATTAAATATAAAATAAAAACTATTAATTTAAAATGGCATTTATTATTTGTGACCATGGACCACAAAACCAGTCATAAGGGTAAATGTTTTGAGATTTGAGATACATCCTCTCAACGCTGAATAAATAAGCTTTCCATTGATGTATGATTTGTTAGGATATGACAATATTTGGCCGAGATACAACTATTTGAAAATCTGGAATCTGAGGGTGCAAAACAATTAAAATATTGAGAAAATCGCCTTTAATGTTGTCCAAATTAAGTCCTTAGCAATGCATATTACTAATCAAAAATCTAATAAATTTGATATTTTTACTAAATATCTTCATGGAACATGATCTTTACTTAATATCCTAATGATTTTTGGCATTAAAACAAAAATCGATAATTTTGACCCATACATTGTATTGTTGGCTATTGCTACAAATATACCTGTGCTACTTATGACTGGTTTTGTGCTCCAGGGTCACATTTATTAAATTGCATTTCCACCACAAAACAGCATTTTTTATGGTGTTTAGAGACTTGTGATTAGTTACCTACTTTCTACTACATACACATCTTCCAGAAGATTATTTTAATGGAAATTCAATTCAAAAATGAAATTCCTCACCCTCATTTTGTTCCTTTATGACTTCCTTTTTTATGTGAAGCATGAAAGTTCTCCACGATTTCATTAAACCGACCCCCAACATTTCACGTTCACAGGCAGCAGCAACAGCAGCAAGTACTTTGCCAGCAACGATTCATCGGACACATCGCGGAAAGCGCGCAACTCCGCGGAGCCCCAGGAACGTGAGCGTATGACCTTCACAAAGCAAGTGGACAATTCGTTATGGAGCATGATCAAGCAGACGCCCGAACCCGTCATGATGACCTATCAGATTGGCCCCAGGTACCAGACCAGGAACATTTCTTCCGCTCTCTTTCTCTGAATCCCGGGTTCCCGCTCATTCCTCTGAGAAACCTGAGAGAAACGTGACATTCTGAGCATCTCTTTCCACAGGAGAAAGAGATAGCGCTGCCAGGCTCTCTCGCTGAGGTAGTTCTGATCAAGCTAAATGTCTCAATGAGACCTGTGTTAAAGAGCTTGATGAAGTGACACAAGCACCTGATTATGGATGGAGAAGAGGGCGAATCTGCCAGGCCTCGATGCTTTTTTAGAGTATTACGATTAGGGCTGCAAAACGATTAATCGCGATTAATCGCATTCAAAATAAAGGTTGTTTACATACCATATGTGTGTGTACTCTGTATATTTATTATGTATAAATAAATACACATATTACATACATGTATATATTAAGGAAAATGTTAGATTCATGTATAAAATATTTATATTTATATATAAATTTTATATATGTATATATGTTTTAGTGCTGTCAAACTATTAATCGTGATTAATCGCATCTAAAATAAGTTTTTGTTTATGTAATATATGTATATGTACTTGTACTGTGTATATTTATTATGTATATATAAATACAAACACATGCATGTACTGTATATATTTAAGAAAAATGTTATGTTTATATATTAAATATATTTATATAAAATATAAGAATATAAATATGTAAATGTATATAAATTTAAATATTTTCAAAATATATGCTGTATGTGTGTGTATTTATATATACATAATAAATATACACAGTACACATACATATACTATGTAAACAAAAACTTTTATTTGGGATGCGATTAATTGTGATTAATCGTTTGACAGCACTTATATATAAAATATATATTGTGTGTATTTATATATACATAATAAATAGGTAGCGGATATTTGCACTAATTGAAAATAGCATGTTTTATTAGTTATATAGATGCTATGGATTCTATTTACACTAAGTGCAAATAGCTCTATAGATTCTATTTATACTGTTAAAATAGCGAGATTTTCTGCTATTTATACTACTTATTGCAAATAGTGGCAATTATCAGCACCTCAGTATTGTAGTACATTATAAAACAGTATACGCCTTATCATCTACGCCATTGAAACTGATGTTTAATGAACGTCTTTTGTAGTCTTGACTACCCCAATCACACGTTGGTGGGTGGAGTTAGTGTAAATAGCCTCTGCCAACAAGGTGGGCTATTTGCACGTAGTGTAAAAAGACACTCCGTACTACAAATACACAGTGCACACACATAGTATGTAAACATAAACTTGTATTTTGAATGCGATTAATCGCTTTGCAGCCCTAATAACGATTTTGAAATCAAAGCGGTGTGCTGTTGAGTGTCATCTAGCGAACGATTGAGGAGGTGTAAGTGAGTTTTATTTTGTGTGTGTGGATATCCATGCAGGGATCAGGCGCAGGTTCTTCAGGAAGACCGGGAGAAGCTGCTTCTGATGCAGCCCATGCAGCCCTGGTTCACCCAGGACCAGAAGAAGGAACTGGCCGATGTTCATCCCTGGATCCATCAGCACACGGTCCCACAGGAGATCAACACACAGGTCTGCAACTTATCATTTACGTTAATATCAAACATACAGGTGCATCTCAATAAATTAGAATGTCGTGGAAAAGTTCATTTATTTTAGTAATTCAAATCAAATTGTGAAACTCGTGTATTAAATAAATTCAATGCACACAGACTGAAGTAGTTTAAGTCTTTGGTTCTTTTAATTGTGATGATTTTGGCTCACATTTAACAAAAACCCACCAATTCACTATCTCAACAAATTAGAATATGGTGACATGCCAATCAGCTAATCAACTCAAAACACCTGCAAAGGTTTCCTGAGCCTTCAAAATGGTCTCTCAGTTTGGTTCACTAGGCTACACAATCACGGGGAAGACTGCTGATCTGACAGTTGTCCAGAAGACAATCATTGACACCCTTCACAAGGAGGGTAAGCCACAAACATTCATTGCCAAAGAAGCTGGCTGTTCACAGAGTGCTGTATCCAAGCATGTTAACAGAAAGTTGAGTGGAAAGTAAAAGTGTGGGAAAAAAAGATGCTCAACCAACCGAGAGAACCGCAGCCTTATGAGGATTGTCAGCAAAATCGATTCAAGAATTTGAGGGAACTTCACAAGGAATGGACTGAGGCAGGGGTCAAGGCATCAAGAGCCACCACACACAAACGTGTCAAGGAATTTGGCTACAGTTGTCGTAATCCTCTT